ACAGTCAAAATCCATAAATCATCACATTAAATCGGTGCATCAACAATACGGAAACCAAAGAATTCAGTGTACCACATATTAAAACAAATAAAACAGTTCAGTAATAAATAGGGAACACACCTCGATAATAGGTTCAAATCGTGGATCTACTGATTGCTGGTTTCACCACGCTCTGCTACAGTTTTCGAACCTAATTTATAATATCACTATATTACTAATGGGTAACATAAATAAATCTCTAAAATCATAAAATTTACGAGTCTTACGAGTGAATACTGGTATACGTGGTTTAACTGATCTAGAAGAGTTGGGTCGAGCTATCGAACGATCCGGAGAGTCTCTTGTACCTTCAAACAATAATAATTAATCAGCCCCAAATTTTACTTAATTGTTCAAAGCTAGAATTCTTAAGTATATAAGCATTTTTCGGGTTTGACTATCATTTTCGGGTATTTCGAGTCTGAATTTGGCCAAACGGATTGCGGAATCGGAATCAGGACGTCGAAAAACATAAAGTATGACTTTTTGAAAATTCATATTCTTGGTCAAAGTCAAAGTCAACCACTTTGACCGTAGATTTGGAGACCTTCGGATTCGAATTTGACAAAACAGACAACGGAAACGGATTCGGCACGTCGAAAACTATCAGGATAGGTATACTCGGAAAATATTAACGGTCGTTTAATGCTCGGTCAAAGCCATTTTAAGTTTTGATAAAAGAAAGTCAACGGTCAACGGTCAACGGTCAACGGTCAACGGTCAACGGTCGGGTCGGGTCGGGTCAACGGTCGGGTCGGGTCGGGTCAACAGTCGGGTCGGGTCAGACCGGTCAAACCGGCTCAGACCGGTCAAACCGAGTCAGACCGGTCAAACCGGTTCGAACCGGTTGAAACCGGTCAAACCGGTCAGAACCGGTTGAAAACCGGTTAAACCGGTTTCCAGCAGCCACTCGCCCTGCGGCGGCGCGTGTGGCGCGTGAGGCGTCCTCCGGGCCCTAAAAATCCCGGAAAAATTTCTAAAAATTATTTTGAGCGATTTCAAGATACTTACAACGATCGGTTCAAATTTTTGAACGGCGGAGAGCTCGATTTCAAATCGGCCGAATCTTTGACTGCACCACCTCCTCACGCGCCGCCGTCTACGGCGGACAAGGTTGACACCGGTGAACTCGGAACGGCACAAGGAACACGATGGTGCGGGAGGTGTCGTAAACGGAGCAACGATCAGCGGTGAATTTAAGATTTCCTCGGCGATAGAGCTAACAAAACCGTCGCTACTTTGACTGGAAATTCCCGACGTTTGGCCGCGTTTCGCTTTAATTAATTTGAAGGGTTTGTTCCTCGCTCGATGATGAACACAACGGTGGGTTTAAAACGATGATCGGAATTTGGACGGCGTCGGAATCGGAGTTGGAAACTGCGTATGGGAAAGGAAAATTGGGAGCCTTTTGGTTCTGAAAATCAGAACCAAATGCACGCTTATAATCAAAGCTGCCGACAGTTTTAGGGTAAATTCAAGGCTTGGTCCTTGGATTTTCTTCACTTCTAAAATGGCCTATAAACTCTCATAAATTTTGATTTAGTCACCAACAATTTACCAATTTTCACAATTAACCTCTAAAATTTCAATTAAATATTATTTTGAAAATCGGGTTGTTACAATTTGACAGAAAAATATCAATTATGTCAGTTAGATGAAAGGCTAAGTGCCTTTGAGGCCTAGTTGTGCATTTGACAGAAAGGTGTTAATTATGCCAATTAGATGAAAGACTAAATGCCTTTGAGACCTAGCTGTGCATTTGACATAAAGGTGTCAATTATGCCAGTTAGATGAAAGACTAAATGCCTTTGAGGTGTAGCTATGCATTTGACAGAAAGATGTCAATTATGCCATGTAGATGAAAGGCTAAGTGCCTTTGAGGCCTAGTTGTGCATTTGACAGAAATGTGTCAATTATGCAGATAGATGAAAGGTTATGTGCCTTTGAGGCCTAGCTGTGCATTTGAGAGAAAGGTGTCAATTATGTCAGTTAGATGAAAGGCTAAGTGCCTTTGAGGCATAGTTGTGCATGTGACAGAAAGGTGTCAATTTTGCCAGTTAGATGAAAGGTTAAATACCTTTGAGTAAAAGATAAATGGCTTAGCTGTGTATTTGACAAAAAAGTGTTAATCATGCCAATTAGATGAAAGGTTAAATGCCTTTGAGTAAAAGACTAGATGTATAACAATGTGTAACGTGGTATAAATGGCATGAATGGATGTCAATAATGAAATGTATATTAGTATATAAAAGGGCATGAAAGGATACCATAAATGAAATGTATAATAGTGTATAAAAAGCATGAAAGGATGTCATAAATGAAATGTATAATAGTGTACAAAAGGCATGAAAGGATGTAATAACGAAATGTATAATAGTGTATAAAAGGCATGAAAGGATGCCATAAATGAAATGCATATGGGTGCATTATCGGCATGAAAGGATGTCATAATTTAAATGCATATGGGTGCATTATTGGCATGAAAGAATGTCATAAATGAAAATGCATAATGGTGCATTATAAGTATGAATGGATGCTCTCAATGAAAATAAAGAATAATGACTAAAGAGATAAATGAAAAAAGAAAAGAATAAAGAAAGATAGGTATGTTAGGCATACTACAAATAAGTAAGATAATTGTAAATGGAGTATGGTTTAACCGAGGAGGATTATAAGATCCTTAAAGAATATACGATTTAAAATGAACTAAATAAATATGACATATTTATGTGTACATAAAGATTAATTTACAATATTATGTCTCACTAAGTAAATACTTAACATGTGTTGGTTCCAAGCATAGGTAAAAGAAGAGACAAATCAAATAAGGAGTGCAGCAGTAGCAACGGATATCATCAATTAAGGTTGGCTCGTCAGTAACTATAGGACAACCTGGTTTGTTTTGGAAAAATTAGTTGGCATGTAATTAAAGTATGAAGAATGCTCTGAATTGTATTTAATTAGAACATTTTATAATATTTCAATTAATGTTTTGTTTTATATTAAAAATGTTATGTTTTAAGAAAATCTGGAAACAAAAATTTTACGGGTTTTTCTAAAGGGGAAATATTTTAAAAGTGATGTGACATTTGTATTTCGTGTACGGAAAAGTATACGGGATATGAGTGTTACAATCATCATAAACAACAGAGATGTTATTCTGGTACCCTTTAGGATGCCTGATGGTGATATTACTATCTTTATTAGTGACTGGTATACTAAGAGTCATAAGGTCTGCAAAACTTTTAGTTCTTTTCTTAATGCTTCTGGTATCTGTCAGCTAATTGTTTTTACTTTTTTCGTGAACTAAAAGATTTCTCTTGTGGAAAAAAGGGGATTAAGGAAAGATGTCGAGATAGGAGTCGGCCTTGGTGTTCCTGATGGCATCCTGATTAATGGATTCGGTCCATATCGATATTATCAGGCGCTTGTTAAAGATGGGATTGTTTACCAGATCATAAATGTCGAACCAGGTACACAAATACTTGATTTGCAGCCGTTCAGGTTCTTGGCACATTGTCTTGCTTAGAGGAATATATTTGTATTGTTAGTCCCCGATTATGTGTTCCATTTCTACATGCTTTCATGATGGATGATGGATGATGGATGATGTTCAATATATTAGACATCTGAACCGAATATCAGTTTATCTATAACCATTTTGAGGGCAGACTTGGATGTACCATGAAACAGGAAAAACATACTGCTTTAGGGTCCACAATGTCGGGATTTCTACTAGTTTGGATTTCCGAATCCAAGGCCATAACCTACTTCCCGTCGAGACTGAAGGATCGAACACAGTTCAGCAAAACTACTCGAACATGGATATTCATGTGGGACAATTGTTCTCATTCTTGGTTACCATGGATCAGAATGCCAGCAGTGCTTACTACATTGTAGCCAGTCCTCGATTTGTCAACTCATCTGACTCGGCCAAATTTAACGGAGTTTCTATCTTGCATTACTCCAACTCTCAGGGACCTGCTTCAGGTCCTCTTCCCGATCCTCCCAATGATTATGACACGTATTTCTCAATGAATCAAGCACGGTTGATAAGGTTGTAACGCATTTTGTATATGTTTATTTGAGATGCTATAAAAACTGTATGCTTTAGTCTTCCTGGTGCATTTGTAGGTGGAAAGTCTCTGCCGGTGCTGCACATCCGAACCCACAAGGATCGTTCAAGTATGGTGAAATTACTGTGACAGATGTGTATGTGATCCTCAATAGGCCTGCAGAGCATATAGATGGAAAACGTCATACGACTCTTAATGGTATTTCATACTTACCACTTTCAACACCTTTCAAGCTTGCTCAGCAGTTCAAGATCCCTGGGATGGTGTTTCACGCTCTACTTCCCTGTCCTGTGATCTTATAGAATAATTTTATACGTTCAAAATCTCATGTATGGACAACCACTTCTAACATTATACCTGGTTACAGGTCTTTCCTGGAGCCTGGACAGCAATTTAGTTTCTCTCGACAATGCAGGCATTTGGAATCTACGGGCACAGGATCTTGATTCATGGTATCTAGGCCAAGAAGCCTATGTAAGCGTCGTGAACCCCGAGGTCAACCAATCGGAGGCTCCATTACCGGAAAATTCTATATATTGTGGCATCCTATCTTCGTTACAGAAGTAAGATATCAAAACAATGCAGTTTAGTTTCTTCTGCAATTTCTTTTATTTTTCATTTTTATTGTTGTTAACATCTCTAATTTTCTATGTCCTGCAGGGATCAGGCTCAGATAGTTAATTTCTCTGGCGGGACATCAATTTCTAATTCGAGTAAAACAATATTCTTCATGTTAATCATAGTAGCCTTGATTGGACATTCATTCAGATAACCATGATTGGGGGAAAAATGAAGTAAGCTCCATGATTTGGTGAATCAGTCTGCTGCTCAAAATCTCTGGCACTGGCAAATGGTAGAACAGAGATCAATCAGATGGCCTTTGTTTGGTTGGGGAGAAAATTTATGGTCAGGAAAGCAGCATACGGTATTGTTGCCTAGAAAATCTTGTAGTATCATTTTTAGTGAACTTGTTTATCATCCAACACTGTAAGAACCGTTTTTTATGCCATTGAAATAGGTACATTGTAGAAGTTTTTATGAAGAGTAATTAACTGTAATGGAAATAGTACGTGTACTGAGAACTGAGAGTTCTCGGTTTTTGTTCACGATTGGTCTTATAGCGGCCACCATTCCCCCCCCCCCCCCATGATTTCAGTGCCAGAAAACATAAACAGCGGTGGAAATATAAACCAAGAGAGCCGAAGAAACCAGAATGACGAGCGTCGCCACCGCATGAACCGAAGATTTGCTCCCACACGACAACATCCCCAACCGGTTCTGTATCACGTTCACCATCGACAGCATCAGAAACAAGCACCCCACAACCGAACCGAAAGCCGAACCCATCATCCCAAACCTCAGAACTCTGAGGTTAATGTGGGCTCTGAATGCTTCATCCACATCTTTGCTGTTCAACAAGTTGATGGCAAGTTTGAGACCCTGAGCTACCAGGGACGAGAAAAGGAAGAAACTGAAGGAGACAACCTCGAAGACAAGGAGCTTTTTAGCGACCTCAATGTCGGCGTCGCATGGTGCTCGATTCTCCAGGCTGTGCTGACCCGGGGTGGTTAAAGAAAGGCCGACGAAAACGGCGATGGTGAAGAGGGAGTTAACGTTGACGAGACCGTCCAAGGCCGTGACGTGAACGCTTGTCGTTGATGATGATGAACTGGAGGGTGTTGAAGTCAATCTTCTGGGGTTACCGTCGTTGGAGTGATGGTCTTTCGTGTGCTGCTCCGATCTGGAAAACAGATGAATTCAGTGTCAATTATCTTAAAACAAAACAGAAAGTTCCCAGATTCCGATGAAAATGGAATGGGAATAAAAGGGAATTTTACTCATTCATTATTGTATCTTTGGAAATTGGGTCGTCGTGTTGTTTGAAGGGTTTCTGCTTCCTGGTACAGCGGAAGCCGATTGGCCATGGTTGGCCCAGGTTTCCCCATTTTTTTATTGCTTGGTGGAGCTTGTTTTCTGTTTGTTTAGGGAAGAAAATTGGGTGGGAAAAAGGCAGATTCTTTGCTTTCGATTTGCTTTTGGAATTGTAGAAAGAATGAAAGAAAGTCGGAAACTTCCACACCGGAAACCTATAACCCCTTATCGTTGTTGCTTCTGCAAGTAACGACTGTGTTGGTCAAATTCTAGTTTTGATCCTTTAATTATACTTAAATTAAATATTTAATCCTGTACCTTAGAGTTTGAAATAATTGATCATTTAACTTCTATAATATCGAAAAATCCAAAAATCTGATACTACAAAAATAAGATCAAATTAGGACCAAATTCCTAGTTGAAGCTTAATTGGCGGACTAAAACGAGAATTTGACCTTTAAAAAGACACGATTGGCAATTCTAATCAAGCTCTTGAAAGACGTACATATGCGTTACATCAGATGGACAAACAATTAATTGAAATCAAAGCATTTCCTTTCCCAATATTTTTTTTTGGATAAATGATGTAATCCATTATCCAATGAAAAGAGGCACCTGCTTCATCTAAACAACCAAACCAAGAAACCCACTCCCCCACAGCAAACAAACCAAAATTAAGGGGTTGATAGTTTACTTCAGAATGATTAAGTGTTGAATGATTTAAATACTGAATGATTAAACGCTGAATGATTCAAATGTTGAATGATTTAGAGACTCTGTATGAATTAGCTCTGAATGTGACATGTTATTTGATAATGGCTCTGAATCATTTAGAATATATATTGATGCTAAATCATTCAGCACTGTTTTGCTGAATCAGTTAGCATTGAATCATTCAGATGTGAGAAACAAACACGTTGAATGTTGAACGGTTCAACAACAGTCCCTAAGACTACAAATCAACCAAAATAAAACATAACATATACTCAGAGAAGTTATTCCAATCCCCAACCCAAACAGAATTTATGCTCCATATTCCCCGCGATCGATGTACCCAATAGCCTAAGCAGAACACCATCACGAATATCAATTATCAAATCCTCAGTCTCCCTCGAAACCCTTCCAAAAGCCCTTGCATTCCTCTCCCTCCAAACCCGATAAACATGAGCACTCCATCCAAGCCTAAACAAAATAGCACGAGGGGATTTCCCCCTTACCCTGGACAAAGCCCAAGCCAATTCTTAATTCTAGTTTCAAACCAGCCTATCCAAGTAGCAGAACTGCAAAAGCCCTCCTCCATATCACAATGGAATACTCACAAGAGAATAACAATGATAACCGTCGTTTTACTATCAAAATAATTCCTGACTTCTTAATAAATAAAAAGGAAAATGTAGTATAGAGAAGCAGGGTTAATCCACAGGGACTGTGGTGTTTCTGATTTAATAAAACTCTTTCTTGATTTTAAAAGAAGATAGAATTTCATATGAAGTTGAAAAGATATATTAAAATAAAATAAATAAATAAATAATATAATAATAAATATTAATAGTAATAAATATAAAATGGAGATTTTTAAATGTTGTCTTTAAAATAAAATATAAGAATTAAATAAAAGAAAAATAATTAAATACATAAATTAAAGAGATTGAGATAAAAAAAAACTTATTGTGAAAGTAGCCTCAGACTTCAGCTTTGTCTCAAATTCCTCGGATCATTGAAACAGATTTTTACTTCAAGATTCACGCCAGCTTACAAGAACAATTCTTCGTTGCCAACTCGGATTGTGTCATTTCAATAACAACTGATTTCGATCTTAGTTTCTTCTTAGCAAACAATTTTGATAAGTGTGTTATTGGGAAGTTGAATATGCTTCAATAAGCAAATCCTTCTTCAAACGTTAACCATAACAATATCCGGACCAATGTCGAAATCGTTTTGATTTGAAAAGTAAGCTCAGAAAACATAGAGAAAATCCGAAGCGATTTAAGTACCTTACAATTCTCACGTTTGGAATTGAGTCTTCGCTTTAGCCTTCGGCTTGAAAGAAAATTAGCTAAGCATAACCAAATTCATATTTAGCATAATAGAAAAGTATGCAAAAAAATAGAGAGAAAGCTAGAGAGAAAAAGGAGATTTTATTCTCAAATGAGAGAGATATGTTTCTAGGCTCACCCTTAGAGGGTATTTATAGCCTTCAAATTCCTAAAAACAAGCTAAAACATCTAAAATCCTAATTAAAACGCTTAAAACTATTTAAACTAAAATACCTAAAAAAATAATATAATATTCTAAATCTTAATTAAAACACTAAAACCTATTTCAACTAAAATACCTAAAAAAAAGATAAAATATAAAAATAATATCCTAAAACTTAATTAAAATACTAAAAAACTATTTAAACTAAAATACAAAGATAAAATATAATGTTTAAATATTATCCTAAACTTGAGTTTAATTCAAATCCGAATTCCAACCAGCTTTGATTCCGAAAATAAAAAAACTGCAGAATTGTGTCCTTTTTGTGTAATTTCCATAATCTTACGTCCTGTACAGAAAATGAATTAAAATAAACAAATAAGCCACAAAAATCAATGATTAAAGAGTAATTTAAAAATAAAATATTAACTAAAATAAGCACTTATCAAATTCCCCTCAATTATTCAATGCTTGTCCTCAAGCATTCCTCAATTAACATATCAAAATCATAAGTTGTCATCTTCAATTTCAATTTATTCCTCAAACTTCCAATCGAATTATGTCCATCACATTTGCCGAATTCAAGTTACAATCAAGCAAAGACATAACCAAGAAAATTTAAAGTAAGCAATGTATCCCAATTAATTGCCAAATTCAATGAAACATGACTCAATACCTCACAAAGATTCACACATATCCGCTCAAAGTGTTTGGGGTAAATGAAATCGCTCAAACCGAAACTAACCAAAATATTATCATAGGCTTGGAATCTAATCAAGTCTCCACTACGAAACATGAACATAATGCAATAATCAAGGGGTCTTTAAACAAGGTGTAACGGGGCTTAGGTTAGGGTAGGAAAAAGGCCGAAAAGAAAGGTTTAAAATATCGAAACAAAAGAACAAAATAATTAAGAACAATCCACGAATTAACATGAAGTGCAATGAAGAATAAAATAAGGAAAAAGAATATATGAAAGACAATTGAAGCGATCAATTTTTCCTTCCCTTTTTTAATTTTTTTTGAACAATGTTTTTTCTTCTTCTTTTTTGTTGTTGTTCGAAACAATGAACAACTTGTTTTTTTCGTTTTATTTTTCATGGAACAACAATGATACAAGATCTCAATTCTCGGCAATGGTGTGAAAAGAGAGGGAAAATAAAAAAGAAAGGATTCAGCTTAATTATGAGGTGTAAAACAAAGAAAGGGAAATAGGCTCAAATGTGATTCACTAGTGGATATATAAATGAGTAGGCTTTTTGAGAATAGTGGGTTTATCCTAGGTGCCCCTATCATATTAAAACATTACGTTCAACATGTAGTCTCGATATGCATTGTGATTAAAAGTTCTAGAATATCCTAATTAGTTCGGCACACACAAGTCAAACAATGAGAAAGAAAGAAAATGTATGCTCGTTAGGCTCAAATCTCACAAGAAAAGTTTATATGCATTGAGTCAAGTTCATCTCTATTGAAAAAACATGAAATATCAATACTTAACAAAAAATTCACCAGCTATATCAATCACCAATCATGCAAATTAAATTCGATCAAAAACATGGTCATAATCCAAAAACAAGCAAAAGTATAAAGAGAAATTCAAGACTAGCAACCAACGATCCCAACATATCAACATCAGAATAACTCAATTTCAAACAATTAAACAAGTCAAGGAAAAATTTAACACATGCTTATCCCCCCTTACTTATTTCATTTTGTCCCAAAACGTATATTGAATTTAAAATCAAAGAGAGGGAAAAGGAATACTCCCCAATCAAGTGGCGACCATAGCCATGGTCCTATCAGAATTTGAATTTGTTCAGAGAAAAATAAAATAAAATTAAGCATCTAATAAAATAAAATAAAATAAATAAAATGAAATGAAAATAAAACGAAATGGGTTACCTCCCATAAAGCTCTTTTGTTTAACGTCGTTAGCTCGACGACCTAATTCAGACTATAGGTTTCGAGAGAAATACTTCCTCCACTTCATACGATTTTTCCAACTAAGAACTCCCTTATAAGAAATTCTACGATCGTATAATTCTTTTATTATTTTCTTGTAGATTTTGGCTTTCTCATAGGCTTTTCTTCGGATCCTTTTTAGCTTTGAAAGCTTATTCAAAATAATTAGTGAAGTACCATTTTCTCCTAAAAAGACACTCTTTAAGTTTTTCGGTATTTGTTTCAGTTCTATGTCAGATGCCTGCAAAACAAAAGGTAAAATTTTAGTTTTAGAGGAAGGTAAAAATAAATCAGAATTGATTGCATGAATATTTTCAAACTCTCTTTCTTCCTCTTCGTGGAAAAGTTCATGATCTATGGAAAGATTAGATTCAATATATTCATCAATTGAAGGATTTATAACATCAACAAAATTCCATTGTCAAATTTCATTGTCAGTATGCCACTTCTAACTTCGATCTTTGTATGTGCGGTGCTTAGGAAAGGTCGGCCTAAGAGTACTTCAGAATAAGTATTCGACCTATCATGTTCTATGTCAATGACATAGAAATCTACAGGAAAAAATAATACATCGACCTTCACTAAGACATTTTCCATCATTCCCACTGGATAGATCACGGATCAATCAGCCAACTGTATGGTTACTCCCGTTTCCTTCAAAGGCTCGTTAGTGATCATTTTATAAATAGATAATGACATAACGTTAATTGAAGCTCCTAAGTCACACATTGTACGTTTAATTTTAAAATCGTCTATTTTGCAAGGTATTGCGAACATACCTTGATCATTCATCTTTGGTGGGAGTTTTCGTTGAAAAATTGCAGAGACATGTTCTCCCAAATTTACCCTTTCGTGCCCCATTAATTTCCACTTTGTAGTGCACAGTTCTTTTAAAAATTGAGCATACCTTGGTACTTGTCGAATTACTTCAAGAAGAGGTATGTTGACTTGAACTTTTTGGAACACCTCTAAGATCTTGTTTTCTTCAGCTCTTTTATCACACTTCATCAATCTTGATGGGAAGGGTAGTGGCGTGATTTCATGAGAAGATAGAGAAGGATGTGAGTCAGACGTACCTTGTATTTCTGGAGGTGGTGTTTCCTCTTGTTCTTCCTGATATGTGTCTTTTTCTGCTGGAACTTCGGGTGAGATAACTTTTCCACTTCTGAGTGTGATGGCACTAACATTCTCTCTCGGATTTAACTCCGTTTGAGAAGATAGTCTTCCTTGTGATTCAAATTTTCCCATAATTTGAGATAGTTGACTTACTTGGTTATCTAACTCTTGAAGATGTGTTTCGATTCGGCTTTGGAATTTTTCCTGTGATGCAATGAGCTTTTCTTGTGAAATTTCTAACCTTCCTATGAGTTCCTCCAATGATGAGTTTTACGTTTGCTGTTGAGGAGAGGCCTTGGTTGATAAGTTGATCTTTGATTTGCCGCATAGCTGAAGTTTGGATGACTCACCATCCTGGATTGTAAGCATTATTGTATGGGTTGTATTTTCTTTGAGGAGGACCTCGAAAGTTCCCTATGGCATTGATTTATGCATTGTCTCCTTCTTGTATCAGTGGGCAGTAATCCGTCGGATGATCTAGCTTTGTGTATATCCCACATGCTCTTGTTGCTCCAGATTTTCCTGCAACAAGTGAATTAACTTTTTTTCAGTTAATTTGTCTAACTTATTCTCAAGGGAAAAAGTACTTATCTCGTGAACCCGTCGGCTGGGTTCACTTGAAAACTATTGAGAGTTAGCTGCCATGGTTGAAATCAATTCCCTTGTTGTTGTTGGGTTCATGTTGACTAATTCTCCTCCACTGGCGGCATCCACCATTTTCATTTTCATTGGAAAAAGGCCTTCATAAAAGTATTGAAGTAACGTTTGCTCACTTAATCCGTGTTGTAGGCAACATGCGCAGAGTTTTTTAAATCGCTCTTATTAGTCATAAAAACTTTCTTCTCTATTTTGTTGAATAGAAAGAATGCTCTTTCATAACTCGCTTGCATTAGCCGCTGGAAAGAACTTGTCAAGAAAAATTTTGATTCATGTCAACCCATGAATTAACTGAATTTGGAGGTAAATAAAATAAACAATCTTTAGCCAAGTCGGCTAAAGAGAAAGGAAAAGCTCTCAATTTAATTTGATCTTTGGTAACTCCTTGTGGTTTCATTCTAGTGCAAACCATGTGGAATTCCAACAAGTGTTTGTACGGATCTTCAGTGGGAAAGCCGTGGAAGGTGGGAAGAAGATAAATGAGTCATGTCTTTAATTGAAACGGAGTCCCGTCTTTAATTGAAACGGAGTCCCGCCACTAAGAAAATTAATGCATAATGGCGTCTGAGTAACATGAGTTGTGGCTAGTTCTCGAATCGTTTGTTTTGCCATCTGTTTCTGATTTATGCTCTTGTTCTTCTTGTCTTTTTCTCTTTTCTCGAAGCGTTTGTGCGTAGATTCTTCGTGCTCGTGCTTTGATCTCCGGATCTAGATCTACTAATTCACCTGGGTTTCTTCTGCTCATAAATCAAAAACTAGAAAAATAAATCAGTACTTGCCGTTAGTCCCCGGCAACGACGCCAATTTGATAACCTTCGTTTTGCTATCAAAATAATTCCTGGCTTCTTAATAAATAAAAAAGAAAATGTAGTATAGAGAAGCAGAGTCGATCCACAGTGACTGTGGTGTTTCTGATTTAATAAAATTCTTTCTTGATTTTAGAAGAAGATAGAATTCCAGATGAAGTTGAAAAGATATATTAAAATAAATAAATAAATAAAATTAATATAATAATAAATAGTAATAGTAATAAATATAAAATGGGGATTTTTAAAAGTTGTCTTTAAAATAAAAGATAAGAATTAAATAAAAGAAAAATAAATAAATAAATAAATTAAAGAGAAACTTATTGTGAAAGCAGCCTCAGACTTCAGCTTTGTCTCAAATTCCTCGGATCATCGAAACAGATTTTTACTTCAAGATTCACATAAGCTTACAAGAACAATTCTTTGTTGCCAACTCGGATTGTGTCATTTCAATAACAACTGATTCTGATCTCAGTTTCCTCTTAGCAAACAATTTTGCTAAGTGTGTTATCGGGAAGTTGAATATGCTTCAATAAGCAAATTCTTCTTCAAACGTTAACCATAACAATATCCAGACCAATGTCGAAATCGTTTTGATTTAAAAAGTAAGCTCAGAAAACAGAGAGAAAATCCGAAGCGATTTAAGTACCTTACAATTCTTACGTTTGGAATTGAGCATTCGCTTTAACATTCGTCTTGAAAGAAAATTAGCTAAGCATAACCAAAGTCATACTTAGCATAATAGAAAAATATGAGAAAAATATAGAGAAAACTAGAGAGAAAAATAAGATTTTATTCTCAAATGAGTGAGATATGTTTCTAGGCTCACCCTCAGAGGGTATTTATAGCCTTCAAATTCTTAAAAACAAGCTAAAACATCTTATATCCTAATTAAAACGCTTAAAACTATTTAAACTAAAATACATAAAAATAATATAATATTCTAAATCCTAATTAAAACACTAAAACATATTTCAACTAAAATACCTAAAACAAAGATAAAATATAAAAATAATATTCTAAAACTTAATTAAAATACTGAAAACCTATCTAAACTAATACAAAGATAAAATATAATGTTTAAATATTATCCTAAATTTGAGTTTAATTCAAATCCAAAAATCCGAATTTCAGCCAACTTTGTTTCCGAAAATAAAAAAACTACAGAATTGTGTCCTTTTTGTGCAATTTCCAAAATCTTATGGCCTGTACAGAAAATGAATTAAAATAAACAAATAAAACATAAAATCAATGATTAAAGAATAATTTCAAGTAAAATATTAACTAAAATAATAATTTATCAAACAAATGATCCCTAAAATCTATCCCACTAGAACAAAGATAACAACCAGTACTCACCTCCATACCCCACCTTACCAATCTATCCTTAGTTGGTAAGCGTTCCTGAACAGCAAACCAGACTAGCATTGCTAACCGAGGAATATGAAACGGAAACCATACCATACCATTCTTACCCAAGGAACCTTCTCATACTGCATTCGAGTTGCACGCCAAACCTCAACTTTCCCAGACCCAATCCAACCACCAGAGCCAGTATCCACAAACTGACCAGCCAAACCCCGAAACTTCAACAGCTTCCTACAGTACCAGCTGCAAGCACTAGAAGACACAAAACCCATAAACGAACTACCCTTCAACATGTAAGTATCGACCCACCTAACCCAAAGAGAATCAACCTTAATAATCACCGCCCTAATGTGTTGAATCATGCTAGCCCTATTCCACAGCCAAATCCCTCAACCCAAGACCCCCTTCCGATTTAGGTCTACAAATACTGCCCAACCAATCCGCGCCCCATAACGCAGTCATATCGGAACCCTTCCAAAAGAATCTAGAGTAAAGTTAGGCCAATCTACGAATAACAGCCTTAGGCAGCACAAAATGCCTACCCAAAACCCCTGAATACTGTAAATAACACTCCGAATAAGTTGAAGATGACCAGCATTAGAGAGAAATTTATTCGCCCAACCCTTTAGCCCGATCCTCCATCTTCACTAATAGAGAGGCACAATCCTTAATTGTAAGCCTCATAGGAACCCCAAGTAAATGAGATTGCATAATTCTTTTTCATTGGTTAAGTAACATAATTTTACAGCAAATTATGGTTTAACATCTTAATGGACATCAGAAATTCAATATATATATATATATTAAAAATAACTGTGATCTCTTATCTAAAATGATTAATTTTACTTTACCTATACATGATACAGCCCATTCAAAGTTCACTGTGTGATTCAACAAGAAGGGAATTTCTTCAAAATAATCTATACAATGGAATGGAATAAAGTTGATGAAGTTCATACATTGCCCAACTCTGGGTATATTACATTGGCGTCTCTTCTGCTCTTGAAAATGATCATACAAATATACTGTTTCACAATCTCAGATCGTCCCCATTTCTTCAAAATATGAATGTTTTTATACAGCAAAGAAGCAAAGAACAAGAGAGAGGCTAAAGCCGTGAAGGTTCCACTGATAAGAAACAAGCCCCGAAAGTCTCCTACCGTCAGTGGGTTCACACTGCTCGAAGCATCGCCCGAATCAAAACTAGTGGTCGGGCTTTTGAACCACGCGTTCTCCAGCATTTGGAGCCGTCCATCCTGTCTTAGCTTTTCGATCTCCCTCGAGATGTCACTAGCCATGGCTGAGCCCTTGGGAAATGCCTGAAAATTTCACCTCAAAGTTAACACTCGGTCTGATAATTATGTGTACGATGAGTACTTGGTGACTTACAAAGCCGAAGCCATTGGTGTTGGGCATGACGGGGCCGATCATGGAATAACGTGATGGGTATTTTTCTAGGAAGATCTTGATGTATGGCATCTCGTCGATTATAGCCGAGACGCCGCCGTTTTTACTTCCTTCCGATAAAGCTTTCGCAAATTCCTCCGGGGAAGTAAGCCATACAGATGTCGAACTAGAGCTTTCGAAGTTTAGATTGCCGATGACTTCTTGGGTGACCGGACCTGTTCTGTGTCCTATGCTGCTCATCTTGGAGTTTAACTCGATATGTTGGACCGTCATCATTGATGTTAACGTGGCGGTGTAATTCGAACCTAATATGAACACCACGAACACCCATAAAAGAACGACAGATCTCGACAAGTTGCTTGATAATTTCTCCCCTGCATTCGCATTCATAACAGATAATCATTTTTCCTTCTTGGGAAAGTAACATGGAAGTCTGAGAATGCTTACAGTGAAAAAAAAGGAGGATGGAGAAGGAGAACCTAAACATCCTTTCCATCTGTCCGTTCGATTGCGGGGTTTGCTCGACGAACGAAGGGCGTTCGATCAGCCAAATAACCGAAGCTGTCAAGACATAAACTCCCACAATCGTAAGCCAGAGTCCTCCGGTGAGTGGTTTTAAGAAAATCCACAAGTTTCTGCTGTCCTTGGGGGTTTTCTGAACAACCATTCCCACCCCCATGTCCGTGTATGGCAAAGTAAAATCCACGTACAAAGATCTGTTTGCTGTAATCGTTATGTCCCCAACAACAGCATCATACTTCTGTATTGTTTATCCAACATGTAATAAAAGAAAAAGGTAACAAGTCAATATACATAAGTTTCACAAACGAACCAGATAACGTTTAAGAACCATACCTGGAGATATACTTGGTAGACAAGATCATCGTATGTCTCACCAATGTTCGGGTTGTTATATTCGAATGGTACAAACTGATATGGCATTTGGTACTTCAAACCGTCCATTGCTGCTCTGAAAACATCTATGCAGAAACCAGAGACAATCGTGGCATTGGTCTGAAGATCACGGTCCACTTTCAGCAATTGTGAGAACCCATTCGTTACAGGAACACCAATATTTAGGATATTACTGCTCATTCGCATCATTCGACCTTTGGGAATGGCTGAAGTCCCACCAGGCCAGATTATCGTTTCGAGGTTCCCGGGGGTCGAACTCGAAAACAGATGCCTTCGATGAGTGGATCCGTGTAATCCAATGGTGATTTCGCCCGAAGATGTCCAAAAGCCAACTCTTCTTTCCCTTTCACCCATCAAATTAACTATTTCAAAAGTAGTGCTTGAGCTTACCTTTCCATGAATGTAGTAGTCAAAATTCTTCATCATCCCTTGCATATCAAACTCCTTGTTACAGAGCTCTTTTGATTCTGTAGTTTTATAAGACCTGAAACCGATGAATCCCTGCATCGATTCAAACACCGATGAATCATTCAAATTTATTTTCAACTGGTTCATGGTCTTAGAAGTCACGATCCATGCATACCCTCGGCCGATCATTCCCAACCTTTTCGCTTGTTCGAAAAGACGAGATGCCAAGACGTGGGATACATGCACCACAAATAGCGATCTCCGCATCGCTCGTAGCCTATGAAGTTCTCCGATGATATCATCATCTTCAGATGAAGCAGACACTGCGGTTTTATACGCAACCTCAAACGTTGTCTCTTCAAAGAAATCACTCCAATTACCATTATCTTCGTGGATGAGGACAACGTCTTCCCATTCGTACAACTCTATGAAAGCAGCGACTGCTTTCGCTTCTGCAGATTCAAGTGGTGAAATAGAGATTAGTGGGACTTTGGGGTGATCTCCAAATTCGGCCAAATATCTTGCTTCCAATTTTGAATTTTGCGCAACGAGTATGACCCCGACTTTGTCATTTTCCCAGAGGTCGAAAGCTGGATTTTGATAATATACAGTATAAAGGTTAAAACTTCATTCAAAATTTTTAGCGTATGCATTAAGTTACAATGTTGGTCTAAGGACGAAAGTCCAACCCAATTACTTTTTTAGTCTATCAGATATTAGGATAGATTGCTTATTTTTCTATTCCGGTTATTGATTTTTTTTTTTAGAAAATTCACTGATATGTGTGCTTTTTTGTCATTAATAGTTAAGTTCTGTTAAAACTTAAAGAAGATGGCGACGTGACATGAATAATAATATTTTTAAACCCTAAAACTTATATATTTTATCTATTTGGTCATATTTTGAAAAAATTCAATAAATTTAATTTTTCATATTTAAAAATAATATCAGTTTGGTCCTTTTCGTATTTCTCTATGTTATTTATATTCTCTAAATTCAAATTTCAATAGAAATCGTCAGCAACCACCATTTCAGCCACCATTGATGGTTGTTACTAACAATCATTAAACCCCAAAATTTACAAATTACCCTTTTTCTTTGAACGTGGATTCAACATTCGTTTCACCGGAAAAATACTCTAAACTCCACAAAGCTAGTTTAGAACTCTTTAACTGCATGTTGTTTAATATTTAAATACAACTTTTAGATTGACGTAAGATCTCAATTATGGCTCCTCATTGGAACACTTCCATAGTTAAGATTTGTGAAACGACTCTACAAACCCTCTAAACATGAGGTAGGTTGGCTATTGAGCCCACTCTGGCTCAGCCGCACCACCCAGTGTGTGTCACTCGATAAGCAAGCTATTATGGTGAATGGTTGGCGCAATAGAGAGGCAAGGTGCAATTGCAGTAGATAAGATAAAACAAGGGTTTGGGCTCCCGATGGAATACAATTGAGTAAGGACCACAGTTCTCATCAGGAGATCGAACCAATGACCTATGGAAGCAGAGGGTACCTTGTCCCCATATATAGGAAATGCAAGTGTCCTGATGTCGAACCAAATCCGTAAACGACCTCACTTCTTCAAGTTATTTCCCCTTGATTTTGAGTACTTGGAGAAGCAGGTCAAGAATTGGTGAAGATATCAGGGAATAAACATAGGGAAAAAAGACAAGTGATACGGAGGAAGAAGAAAAAAGATAAAAACTTTGGAGTTTGACCTAAATATTCGATGACTAATTTATAAAGTATATAAGTTTTAGAGACTAAACTATTATTGTCTGGGGTTATGTCATTATCTCCATTGACATTTTAACTACCGATGATTAAAAATGAAAAAAAATGCCGTAGAGTATGAATTTCCTTCATAATCATATTATCTTTACCAATAAATAATAAGTTTTGTAGAAAATAATAGGTTTGACTAAATCATTCATATACTTGACAAAATCGTAAGTAAAAACACTTTTAAATCACTTAGCATATCATCGATTAAGTAATGGTGAGACGGTTCGAGGCAAAGAGAGGTTAATTACCGGCGGATAAAGCAAGGGAAGGGTCCCCTTTGGAGAGTTTGGTGTGGAGAGCTGATATCCTCATTTGGTATGAGCTGTTGAATCCCGAAATGGCCTTGGAAACGCAGCTGCGGATGATGTTCCCCTCCCTCGACCCCATATCGACGATTAACCCAACACCAACCGCCTCTCTAATAGCACCATTTTCGCCACTCCCTTCACCCAGGAGAGTCGAGCAGAAGGCAAATAAGAGCAACACTTGCTTCTCCATCTTCATCGTTGACTAACTGTTGCTCTTGTGCTTGGTACGTACACTGGTTTTTATTCAATATGTAATGGAATACATATATAGGTAATGTAAAAGTAAGAGGTTGACTTTGTAAATCTGACCAACCGCCTACAGCTTTGTCAGTGTGTGTTTTTCTACGGGTCGGTTCATCTTTGAGTATCTCGAAGACCCAATTGTACGAGTGGAAGTCTTATGAAGGGGGCAACCTCCATTGCCACGATGCTTCCTTTATTGTCTTCCTATCTAGAACTATAGACTCGGCCCTTTAATTAAACAACAAAATTCCCTCTCCCCTCTCTACACTTCACTCAGTTAATCTTGTCCAATTTTTTCTTAGGTGATTAAACAAACGAATCCTTTCTGGATTCATGATTATATAACATATTAAAGTTTCCATGGTAGAGAACAAAATCATCGATATGGTGTTCAAGAATCATTAATGGAGATCATTAGCTACAAAAGGACGAAGGAAATGAATAATCCACGATAAAAAAGAAAAAAGTTCAGAGTCAAAACTGACGGTTAATTTGAATAAAATGTATTAATGCACTTGACATTATATTATTGGTGAGGTATAGAAAAGGGACAGAGGATTTTTGTTCTCAATCTAGTGATATATAAAATATAAAAAAGGTTGCTTAATTTCTGAAAATTCTAAATTGTCTAAAAGTAATTATTTAATTAATTTTTATCGATTAATTTCATTTCTCCTCAATTTTTTGAATAAATTATGTCGCTAGTCTCTTTTATTTTTTATCTTACCGATTTTTGTTACCAATTTTTTTAATTGTGTTTGGTCCTTACATTATCGATTTAACTGATAATATGTTATCCTCAGTTAAACCATTAGCGGAAGTTTGACATGGGATTTAAAAAGAATAAAACACCACGTCAGAATAACAACTATTGTATTCATGTGGCATTTTCATATATTTGAATGTCATTGTTAATTCAAAACGTCACTTAACTTACCAGATTAAGTTAATTAACTCAACTTAATAACTTTAAAACAAATGAATAATTAATGGCGTTAAATGTTGTTTGATTCATTCAATAAACAAAATCAAAACAAAATAAACAAAATAACATCTGAAAAATAGAAGGATTTTAGGGTGGAAATCAAATGTGGGAGAAAGGATTAGGGTTCGTCTTAAGTAGTCTCTTTTGTCTAGGGTTTGTGTTTAGGGTTATCTGAAAAAAAGAAAGATTTGGGTTCGTTTGAATCATCTTATTGTTGTTTAAAAATGAAGGGATAGCAAAATGGTTGAACAATGACTTCAACAACCAGGGAACAACAAAATGGTGTATGGCAATTTCTGGATTCTTCTTTTGTTTTTTTAGGATTTTTATTCGTCTTTTGTTTTGATTTTTTTAAGGTTTCAAAATAAATTCGTTTTTTGGGTTCTGTTGCATTACAGATTTTTTATGCCTGTATGCGGGTGATTGGGATTTTGAAGAATTATTTGACAAGCAAGCTGTGCCAATTCCTTGAATTGGTAATTTTATACCATTTGCAGTAGTGACATTGATTTGAGAGAAGGTTTTAGATTAGCGAACACATTTTTTTATTAGTCATGTGATTAAAGGCAGCAGAATCGAGAGAAACCAAGCATTTGATTTATTTCGAGTATCTGATATCCCAGCAACGGAAAAAATAGAGAAAAAAAATAACACATGGAAGTGTGGACTTCATGGAGTCTTGAATCATCTTTTGAATAACTTCTGGTGTGAGAGACATTGCATTTGAATTTTCTGTTTTTGGAGTTGCTGGCATTTGATCACAACTAATAGTAACATAGGCTGGTTGATTTTGCTTATTCTTCAAAATTCTGCACTCCAAAATAACATGGCCAGATTTCTCACAATAGTTGCATGTATTTCGCTTCCGACAATGAGATTGCACATGTCTGAGTTCTTTGCAATAGTTTTTTTTTTGTAAAAGGGTGCTTTGTATTAAAATCAATGCAAAGTACACCACCTCATGAATCTCATTAAAAAACCTCATTAGCCCTAAATGAAGGAAAAAGAGTGAACCAAGATGTGAAAAAGAATAAAATCAAGGATACCACATAGCAACAAACAATTTGCAACCCAAACCACAGCAAAACTCACACAAACGCCCATACCTACTGAACATTACATAAGACCTTGACATTCATCGACACTCAACCCAACACACAATAAACAACCAAAACATCCCAAAAGACCTGATGGAAGAATAATCAACAAATAATCTCAAAGAACATGGCCCTGGACTTCACACAATCCCAGACAATCAAGCACCAACCTCAAAAACAAATCTCGTACAACCCCAAAATGACCGTGTCACTCCTTTTCAACTAACGCAACACACCTTTTCTTCAAATCAGAATCAGATAGCGAACTACCAGATAATTCAGAGGAATTTAGATTAGATTTCAACAATTTTAATATCTTCAAAGCTACATCTCTTTTATTTTTCTCAGCTTTCGAAAGAACTTTGTCTTGAATATCCAGTAGCGAGCCAAATTTCTTCTGTTTCCTATTAAACCTGTTGGTCAACACCTTCTCAGAACTCGAACTCTCAAGTAGCCTTAGATTGTCGGAATTAGACTTGGGCTTCCAAGGATCTGCATCTGAATTTGGGATCGAGCACCCAAAAATATTGGCCAAGGCCTTACTCGGCAGCCCATCGAAAGGCTCACTTAGCAAAACCACCGCCTTGCCTCCTAATGCAACACCCAAATCCTTGCCTTTCACGTGTGCCATATTATATTTTTCCAAAGCATTGTGATAGCCGCTCCACTGACACAGAGGAAAGTGCGCCCTAGCCTCATACCGCATTATCTTGGAATTAAAAAGACCCATGCTATTATTTAAACCCCTTTTCACTAACCCATCAATAGGCACAAACAGACAAACTTGCGCGTTGTCTTCTATGACAGCACACAACTCCACCTCAGCGCCTATGAGCCCACTACAAGCTGCCTCCAAAGTGTTAGAAGCATCACATCTCTAACACCGTAAAACATGTGTATCAACCCCATAACGCACTGCCTGGGGTACTGAATCTTGAGTCCATAACTCTTCATAACGAGGACCAACACCAGCTTCCTCCGTAATTGGACACCTCGATTCACCACCAACAGTCAAGCCATCGAGAAAATCTCGAAACTCTTCCTGACCAGTCTCCATATGTGTGTTAGCACGAAAAGATTAAGTAGTCATACCAGTACAAACCTCCAACTCGGGAGACTTTTCTAATGAGACCTCAACAATCTCCTCCACCATAGAAGCCGGAGAGGCAACATCCCAACCCAGCGAAGACTAATCTTCCCAAACAAAATCTGGGCTAAAACAACGTTCAAACTCAGATACAAAAACTGACACAATCCTTTCCCCAACTACCAAATCGATTGATTCTTCCACTCGAGCTTTGCAGTTCGTTGTAATCTGAAACAGAGCCCTATCAAATGATCCGGGATTAAGGGTCCCTTCCTCAATGGAGATGAGTTCTCCCCATTTCTTTGCAATGTTTCTGAAAGTGGAATGACTCCACACAAACAGAGGTATCCCCCTGCAAGAGAGCCATGCTCGAAGGCTGCAACACTGAAAATTCTCCGACCACACTTCCACTTTGTGAAAGCAATTTTTCAACGCTTGAGACTGTTTAAGTAGAGTATGATCCCTACTCTCTTCATCTTCAAAAATGATTAAAATTGCTAAACAACTTAACCTCATAATTTTCGGGCCTAATATTCCTTGTGCATAATAGCGGCCAGCTCTTTCATTTTCATAAATTTTCTACACCACCCTACCAGACTATCTCCAAGTATAACTAGCTTATCCTCGTCGACAACACCGACAATGGGAGCCTGAGAAAAACTATCCACCACCATTCTATTCTTAGCCTCAGCCGGTTTTGGACTCGAAGACTTCTTTCTCCAGAAAGCTTCTCGAGGTTGAAATCTCGCCATGAAAACTCGAACTTTATTACCTTGAATTCTTAATCTATCGGCACAATTGATGGCCTTCCTCGCATCCTCCAATCTGGTAAAATGAATAAAACCAAACCTACTACCTCCCTTACTTCATTTGTTAGGGATAAAAGAATCGACCACCTCGCCATATTTATCGAATATTATTCAAAGACCTTGATGATGAATAAACTCTGGAATGTTAAAGATGATCACCGTAACACAATTTCTCACAAACGAACTTCTCACCTTACTCGCCATAAAGAATATTATTATAAAAACGCCTGAAAATTTTTTGAACGCCTGAATTTTAGAGAGGAGGAACTTCTCTCACTAACTGAAAATTCTTATATGACGAGTCCAAAATGCACCAAATATCTTCCTTGTTTCCATTCCTTTGTTTTGATTGATATTTACCACGTGAAGAAAGAAATACAGAATCAACAGTATTATTTTTCGTGTCTAGTTGAGTCGTGTTTCATCACGCCCAAAACAGATTCCATATTCAGATCACCGCGATTGATCGAGTACCCCTTGTTGTCTCAAATTCAGGTCGGAGCTTTATAAGAAATTGCATCACCCTTCTGCGATCCCGTTCTTTCTTTACTTCAACGTATGCAATAGGTGAGATTGTTGAGGAAGAGATCATGTCTTGCTCTGTCCATAATTTTAACATTGCAACATAAAACCTGCGAATATCTCTATCCTCTTGGCTAATATTTGCTATTTCATATTCAATTTCAAATTGTCTAGAAAATTGTCTAGACTGATTTACCTGAGAATAAATTCCATTGAGATGATCCCATATAGAAGCAGTTGTTTTGAAAGATTGAATACTTAAAGCAATATCAGGTTTAACAGAGTTAAGTATCCAAGTGACAATATGTGCATTCTTTGTTTTTTAACCTTCATCTTTTTCAGATCCATCAAGAATTCCAGATAAACATTTTCCTTCAACAAAAATTCAAAAAATTGAACTCCCAAAGTGCAAAATTTATGCCATTGAATTTGACTGATAGCATGTCAAATTTG